AAAGTTTGATGTTGAAAATACATGCTGCAAAGAATTTGTGCGTTTTACTGCTGACGAAATTTTATATAAAGATGAGAAAGATGCAGATACGCCTTTGCTAAACTCGCTTAACACAGAAGTAGAACAAGGAAAATTGTAAATGCAGCAAAAATATAGAATTCCAAGACCCAATAAATAACACCCATGAACACGTTGATCATTCAGAAGTTCAGACACTAACAATGATTTAAAGGCAGGAATATGTTTTCTTGTTCAACAAATATTCTTATGCCAGTGCCATACTCTCTCCGAGAGCGTAGACGACCTCTCGCGAATACTCTTGGTACGTACTATCCACAATTATACGGGACATACAGTTTATCGCCGGTTCTGAACGGCACTAGTTGAGAGGTTTTCCTGTGCAGAATACTCGTGGTAGTTTGCCATTGCTTTCCACGAAGTCTTGGGCGGCGATCGAACCCGGGACCTCAGGCGTGGTAAGCGGATGCGTGCATGACCACACCACCTGTGCTTTCTGATAAAGAAATGTACAAATTCCAATCATTAAACTCTTAGACAATTTGCAAAGACAACTTCACAATCCAAGACCAAATATATGACATTTGCCAAACCAACGGGAATAAAATTGTCGGGAAAGTCACAACTTTCAGACACCTTGGAGCGGATATTTCAAGCCGCAACAAACCGATTCTTCTCCTTCGGGCGCCATGTGCTATGCTGCACGTCGGCGACAATTTGTCCTTTTCATGGTCACAGAATAGCTAGGGTGCCCTCCTCAGCCTGTCTAAAAATTGTTGCGGCGTCCGGTATATCCCAATTGCGGAGCTAAGGATGTTGTTTTCGACCTGGCCCCCTTCTACCTTCGATTTTTCCATGCAATACTAGCTTTGGTATGGAGTAGGGGGGGTCCTCTCAGTATATGTCCCAGATATGACACTACGTTTTTTTTTACCGTGTCCATTAGTTGCCTCTCTATTCCAGCTCTTCGTAGAACTTCATTATTAGTTGTGTGTGCTGTCCAGGGAATACGAAGCAATCGGCGGAGTGTCCACAACTCAAAAGCTTCGATTCGATTTATCGTTGTGGCTTTAAGTGACCAAGTTTCGACACCGTACAAAACAATAGGCCATACATAACATTGTACTACACGTATTCGAGTGTTGAGTGGCATATTTCTGTGAAGAAGTATAATCTTAAGTTTAAAGAAGGTTATTTTCGCGCGACCAATTCTTCCCTTCACTTCTTCATCACATTCCCACTTTTGATTTAAATAAGATAGGTACATTTGGCGACACGTTCAATATTTTCGCCGTTGATGTTGAGAGTGGTAATATGCTGATTTCTGCTAATCACCATAATTTTTGTTTTGGTAATATTTATATGTAGTCCGAACTTTTCACCTCATTCGTTGATTTGATTTAGTATTGACTGAAGGTCTTCAAGGTTATTAGCCAGGATAGCGGTATCATCTGCGTAGCGGATATTGCTTATTGGGACGCCATTGACTTTGATACCTCGGGTTTCATTTTCTAATGCTAGTTGGAAGATTTTTTCCACATAAATGTTAAATAGAATGGGTGACAGTACACATCCCTGACGCACTCCCTTCGAAATACCAAAGGTCTCCGTTGATAGCTGGCCATTAATACGGACCTCTGCCCTCTGTTGCCAATACAATTCCTTTATTACTCTAACATCTTTATCATCTAAACCGATCTCCTGTAATCTCTCCAGCAGCGGCCCGTGCTTTACGTTATGAAAAGCTTTTTGATAATCGATAAAGCAGACAAAAACATCCTGCCTTTGATCATAGCACTAGAAAAACAATACGGGATAGAGTGAGGAGCGCAACAATAAGACAGACCTGCAAGGTGGAGAATGTAGTCAGACGGGGACGAAAGCGCAGAAGATGCTGGCGGGACCATGTAGAAAGAATGGACCCGAAAAAATAGCCAAGATTGTCTCGAATGGAAATCCAGCTGGTAAAAGACCCATTGGAAGACCACCGAAAAGATGGAGGGATAGTTGGACATCCATATCACAGGAGAATCAACAACATTGGCCAGGCGAAATAAACAGACCAAAAGAGCTTTACAAAGAATAAGAAGAAACTCTTAGGGAAAAAGCAGTGTTATTAAGAATTGCCCACAATAGACATGAGGACAGATTTTGAAACACAGAAGAGAAGAACAATTAACTCTATAGCAAAAGAGAACTGAATAAATTTTCCAGAAACAATGGAAACGGGTCTGTTTAACTCGATCACTGCAGAACTAGAAATCGCAACAAACAAGCAAAATAAGAAAATTGAAAACGCTGATTTTACAACGTTCAGCGGAAAAAGAAAAAGTAAAGCATGCAAAAAGAAAATTGGAATTTGCAGAAACAATAAATAACATCGACGAACCCGTTGATTAGTCAGGAGCTCAGTACACCAAAAATAAGTTTGATGGAGGAATTGAATTTTCTGTACGACAAATATTACCATATCAAAACCCGGATTTAAATGTATAAATGTTTCGATGTTTTGTTACTTCGTCTGCATAAACTACTCATTATAAGTAACTTGTTTAAAACGTATTGCTAAACTTAAAAATTCCCTTAGAAATACAGGGTGGTCCTCAACTAATGTCGAAAAATTCACTGGCATATTGTTTGGTCAAAAAAATTGCGTTTCAGGCAAATTAGCCTTATCCGAAAGTCACTAGATTCCGAGATACCGTTTTTTTCTTAATAGATTTTTAACCAGTTTTTCTAGTACTACAAGAATTTGTGATTGGGGGTTTTTTAGATCGGCAAATCCACATTTCCTATTATCCACTTTGTAGTTCCTATAGGGCGCTAGCTGCTACAGTTTGGAGCCATTTAAAACATGAGAACTTTTTTGGGGTTTACCATATCGCGTTTTTGTTACCAATATGGGGTTCTCCAATAGGTTTGCAACAAAAAATGTGTCCTTGGTTGAAGTCGCTATCTTTCACCGTTTTCGACATACATGTTTCACAATGAAAAACCTAGTGATGTTTTGAACCATCTCAAATTAGATCCCTTTTGTCGTAGATTGACATTTATGAAGTGGGCCTTGGACAACAATTATCTTACGGTCAGTTTGGTGTTAGTTAAGTGTGAAAAAAATTATTTAAGTTTTACTCTTACATTGATTTTATTACAAATGCCCCGACATAACTTATTTTCGAATGAAGAAATGTGCGATATGGTATGTGTTTATGCGTAAGAAAATTATGTTGGAAGTAGAGCGCATCGCCGATATTTAGAGTTATATCCTGACAGACGGCAACCAAATCAAAAACTATTCCACAATCTGTCTCAACGGCTTCGAGAAACTGGTAGTTTTCGTCCTAAGCGGGACATAGCAGGCCAAAGGCGTGCCATTTCCGTCGACAAAAAGAAGTTTTAACTCAAGTGCTTGATAATCCAGAAATTAGCAGTAGACAAGTAGCAAGAACTACGCGTATGAGCAAAACAAGCACCCTCAAAACCTTAAAGAAAGATAAGTTTCATCCCTTTCATTTCTCCCCAGTCTTCTTTCGTCATGCTGCGTCGTCTTGCTTTCTTCATGCGTGAACAGGAAACACGTAATCCTGGATTTAAAAAAAATGTTCTGTTTACTGACGAAGCGACTTTAACCCGTAGAGAGGTCTTCAACTACAAAAATAAACCTCATTGGGAGACTCAAAATCCACATGCCGTTTCACATCGCCATTTCAGGCATGAATTCAAAATTAAATCGGTACGGAATCCTAGGGAATTATCTAATAAGTCCACATGAATTTCGTGGAAATTTGACTAGTCAGTTATACTTAGATTTTCTTCAGAACGAATTAGGAAATTATCTAGATGACTATCGGTTCGACAAAATCTTTGCATCATGCAAGATGGCGCTTTCGCTCATTTTGGTGTTCAACTATCTTGATGAACAATTTCCGAATCACTGGATAGCACGTGGAGGCCCAATACCGTGGCCTGCCAGAAGCCCTGATTTTAACCGAATGGATTTCTGTTTTTGGGGTTTTATGAAATCCCTAGTTGATGACAATCCCATTAACAACAGGGAAGAATTGTTACAGACAATTTTAAATGCTGCAGAAGTCTTCTGAGGCAAAAACGTTTTTTTTTCAATACGACAATCATTTACTAGAAGGGTTAGGAAATGTATTCAGTATGTCAGTATGTATGTGTATGTAAGTCAGTGGATATCATTTCGAACAATTATTGTGAAATACTAATTTTCACATGTTTTTCTGGGTTCAAAAAGTAGTTTAAAGCAGTTCTCAACGTGCCCAAATAAATACTGTCTAATGTTGGTTAAGTTTTGTTTAATAGACAATTTGCTCAGAACATTTCTTTTATTTAGAGATCCAATTAGTTCAAAAAATCACTAGATGTTTCAATGTGAAATATCTCGAAAACGATGACAGATATCGACTTGGATCAAGTACACCTTTTTTGTTGTGGAACTATTGGCGAATACGATATTGTTGACAAAAAAGCGATATATTAAAACCCAAAAAAGTTCTGATGAAGGTAGATAATAGGAAACAATACGAAATTTTATTTTACACTTTGACACCCTGTATCTAGGAACCTATTAACTTTCCAATAAGACAAAATTGTCTGCAACGCAATATTTTGGCCTGAACAATATGTCAGTAAACTTTTCGACATTAGTTGAGGACCACCCTGTATAAAAATTAAATAAGTACCCACCGAGGTACTAAAAAGCGTTGATCTTGTTTCGATTTTACGGCCTTTTTTATCATTATCAATATTTTTCTTTACTCGAAAAGCAACGGCCAATACGATAATAGTTATGGCCAAAAACTGTAATTTTTATCAGTTTAATCACTATTAAAGATGATTGGATTTTTATTACATTATATGCTAATACCAAAAAATATTTAAATCCCTAGAACTCGTATTTAACTGATTACGACAAAAAAAAATATGTCTGATAAGTCTAAAATTACGTGCTTCGCCGTCAATTTCAATAGCAACCTTCCACATTTCCTAAACGATTGTCAATAATACAGTGTAAAGTATCGGTTGAACTCACTTGGCCTTTCTCATCCAGATATAGAACGCATTTTTAAAAGGAACGTTCAAAGACCGCTTTTCCGGAACATAGTTGTTCTCAACTACCACATCACCCATTCTCGTATGGAAAGTCGAATAAATCGGCCAAGACGAGACGTGACCGAACCGAACGATGAAACCGGGTCAACTTTCAGGGGATAATAAAATCGAAACGATTCTTGACTTCGAACGCGACAGCCAGGATGTTGAACTAGGGTAAGTCGCCATGCTCTATTGTCCCCGACACGCTAAACCTTGATTGAATAATACATAATTCAATGAAATTGTAATAAAGGAACAGAACGAAATGATGGAGTTTTAAGATGGTATATGCAGATGCGAAAATTATAATTGCAAATTTGCTCCCAACACATTTGCAACGATTTTTTTAACTTGCCCTGATTGAGATGAAAAAGCTGGCTGATGCTCACATTGTTTTATAGATAAAACTATGCTGTATCGGGCTTGCAAATAACGATTTTTTAACAGTTTCAAGTATGACGGATGCAATTGCAATTTATTTCCTTTTCGTTTGCAAAAATCATTTAAGAAAATGTTTTACACCTGATTGAGACCTAGTCCTGCTTAGCATCTTAATCGCAAGAATTTTTCTCTAAACACAGTCTTAAAGAGGATTTACTTAATAATTTTTTCGGTTTTTGCTACCATTTTCAACTTTGAAAATTGTAATTGCAAATTTTCTTCTAACTCATTGGCATTTTTTTTATTTGTCACCAAAGTTTGATACGAAACAGCGGTTTAATTTTCACCCCATTTTTCTAGAGAAAACTATGCTCTATCGGAATCTTGCAAATAATGATTTACTCAACAGATGATGATTTAAAGAGTCTTAAAGATGATTTAATCAAGAATTTTTTCGATTCTTCCTAATTTTCAACTTTGCAAAATGTAATTGCAAATTTTCTTCTAACTCATTGGGATTTTTTTATTTGTCACCAATTGAGATGAAACGCGGGTTTGATTTTCACCCCATTTTTCTAGAGACAACTATTCTCCATCGGAATCTTGCAAATAATGATCTACTCAACAAATGTGATAATTTTTGACATTTTCAAATTTGCAATATTGCAATCTTCCTTACCGAGTACCGTTCTACCACTGTCTCCTAAAAAAAGTCACCTCATTTTTCAGAAATAACGTTTACCCAGCAACTGAACTAAGTTACTGCGCCAGTACGTTGAGGTAGCGCACCAAGCTAATTGCGCAACACTGCGCCAACTCCTAAAAATTCACTAAGTTATTGCTCAAAAACTGGACGAATTATTGAAGCTCACCATACATGAGCGTAAAGCGTGGAATCAAGCTGCGATCGATAAATCGTACGATTTATTGCGGGCTTAGAGCCCGTGGGAAATTGTAATAATTTTCTGGGTAAAGTGACAGGGAATTAGGGGTTAGGATACTTAGTGACAGTGAATTAGGGGTTAGGATACTTTTTTGTTTGCATTGTGCTTCAGATTTTAAAAATGTGTTCTATGGAATAAGTTCAGCAGAAGAATAACGAAAACTAGTCGCTTTTCTAAAGCCATAATCAAAGAATTTGGCTCTTGCGTCATGTGCTCTGGTCTACACATACCAATACAAAACAACAGAACTAAAGTATTGGCATTTATGTTAGTATTACTGAAGTTGCACCAACTTATTATGAGAACAATAACCAAGTGAAAAGTCGTTGCCGGCCAATAAAATGACTTTCAATTATGGGCCCACTTGATTGGCCAAGAAATCAACAAAATAGAAATATGCAAACAAGCTCTTTAGACCTAGAGACTTTTGTCCATTTAATCAGAGCTTTCTTTGATTTTCAATTGCCACATTTGCAATTTTCTTCCCGAAAATTCAGATTTCTTATTCTACCAAATTTGATTGATGTGCAAGATTTTTGCAGAAAGTTTTGCTTTATTTGGTCTTGCAGTGTGAATGTGACTGAATTTTACAAATTTAACGATGATAATGGAAAATTTGCTTTCGTCGCATGTAGAGTTTCTTTTCAAATTTGGTCCTTTGAGATTGAGGCAAGTAAGATAGATGTAATTGCAAATTGTTTCCACTTCGTTTGAAAAATTTATTTAAACATTTTTTTGCTCTCGATTGGGTCCAATAAACTTCCGGCTTAGCATATTTAATCGCAAGAATTGTTTTCCAGTCGCAGTCTTAAAGAGGATTTATTTAAGATTTTCCCGATTTTTGCTACCATTTTCAAATGTTAACATTGTAATTGCGATTCTCCTTTCACTTCATTTGTAGGATTTATTTCTAAAATATGTATATGACTAAAGGCTGAGATGAGTTAGAAGAATAACGTCCACACGACCTATTGATGCAAGCGAGAGACGAAGATCCACTAACAAATTTTCTCGAGTTTTGCCAACGTTTTCAAGTTATTGTAATTGCAAAATAGTTTCTAATTCACTGGCAAATATATATTTTTTTTAATTGTCACTCAAGATTGAGAGGAAACAGCAGGTTGATTTTCACCCAATTTTTTAGAGAAAACTATGCTCTATCGGGGTCGCAAATAACGATACGGGGGTGGTTTGAAAAGTCCGTGCAAAGTCAGAGAGAGGGCACTACTGGTGCGCATCAAAGTTATTTTCAGTTAGTATCATCTCTTGGAAGAACACACACCAAGTTTCAGGCAGATCGGTTTATTTGTTTGTATTTGGCGTTTGTTTGAATCGAAAAAGTCGAGAGATTTTCAAAATATGGACGAAAAAGAGTTTCGCGTGTTGATTGAACATTATTTTATGAAAGGCAAATCGCCTCAGGAGACTAAAGAGAAACTTGATTAACGGGGACGACACATGTGACGGGGACGTTCTGGACGCCCTGTTTCGGGCACTACTCCAGAAATACTTGATAAAGCCCATGGTGATGAATGACAGAAGAGTGAAGGTGCGTGAGATTGCAAGTGCTGTGGGCATCTCGAATGAACGGGTACATAATATTTTGCATCAACATTTCGGCATGAAAAAGTTATCCGCAAGATGGGTGCCGCGTTTGCTCACAATTGATTAAAAGCGTTATCGTGTGAGGAGTTGCATGGACGGTTTGCAACTGTTCCAGCGGAATCCTCCGGACTTTAAGCGTAGATTCGTGACTGTGGATAAAACATGGATACACCACTATACTCTTGAGACCAACGAACAGTCCAAAAAGTGGGTTGGCAAGGGGGAATCTGCACCAAAAAGCGAAGGCAGTTCCTTCGGCTGGGAAGGTTATGGCAACTGTCTTTTGGGATTCGCAAGGAGTAACCTTCATTGATTATTTGGAAAAGGGTAAAACTATTACAGGCGCATATTATTCATCGTTATTAGACCGTTTGTAAACCGAGCCACCTGAAAAACGTCCACAATTGGCCCACAAAAAAAGTACTATCCATCATGATAACGCACCAGCTCACACATCAGCAGTTGTGGCGACAAAATTGATGGAAGTAGGGTTTCAACTCGTTACACATCCCCCGTATTCTCCAGATTTGGCTCCCTCGGACTATTACTTGTTCTCCAATCTGAAGGAATGGCTGGCGGGAAAAAGATTTTATTCAAACCAGGAGGTGATTGCCGAAACAAATGCCTATTTTACAGACTTGGACAAATCCTATTATTCGGAAGGGATCAACAAACTAGAGCATCGTTGGACGAAGTGTACTAGTCTAAAAGAAGATTATGTTGAAAAATCAAAATGATATATCCTAAAAAATTAAGTAGTTTTCATTTTTACCCTCGTATACTCAACAAAAGTGAGGATTTTCGGCAACATTTTAAAATTTGAAGATTCTAATCTCCCATTGCCCCCACTTGCAAGACTTTGTTCGAGAATTGGTTATGTCGGTATTACACTACGCACTTTTCGTCAATTTATTGCCCTAAAGCTGGACCAATTATTGAATGTCACCAGATATGAGCGTAAAGCGTGGAACTGGACTGGGATTTATCAATCGCAGTCCGATACGCTGTATTGGGGACTCAGAGCACGTTGAAAATTATTGTGGATTGTGGTGATGTTCAGGGAATTTTTGGGGTTATTTGTTGTCTTTGCATCACAAATGCAATTTGCTTTTTCGGAAAATTTGCGACCGAATATTCAGAATTCTTATTTTGCCAAATTTGCCTGATTTTGCGGATTTTTTCAGAAAGTTTTGCTCTATTTGGTTCGGAAATGTGGATCTGAATAAATTTTAAAAATTTAACGATGGTCATGAAAAATTTTCTTTTACCTCATGAGGAAAGTTTTTTTTTTCAATTTGGTCCTTTGAGTTTGAAACAAGTATAAAGCTCCTGCTATTTTATAGGGAAACATACACTCATTTTCGCATCTCAATTAGAATTTTCTTTAAAATTTCGCGATTAATTGCCGATGATTTCACTTTGAAAGATTGTCATAAAAAATTTCCTTTCAAATCATTTCAAATTATTTTTGAAAATTAAGTAACTTGAGACAGGGACGAGTCATTTAATGGATACAGGTGGAAACGAAGATTGGACTCACGAAATTTTGTCATTTTTGGCAAAATTTTCAAGTATGAAGATTTTAATTGGAAATGTACTTTTCATATTTTTTAATTCAATTTAGTTTAATTAATAATTGCAAATTTCCTGCCATCTCGGTTGCATTGTTTTTTAATTTTAACTAGTCCTGAAATTTTCTGGCTTCCTGGGATTTATCAACTAAAACAAAAACGCTTCGGATGACGTTTACCTTTGACAGATACCAAATAGTAGGGTTTTACTTTCCTAACCTCGAGTTGGATAACCGTTACCATAAATTCATAATGACAAAAGACTCGGTTAGACTGGTATTTACATTCGTAGTCATCACATTTTTAAATTGTACTCTTCAAAACTTCCTAAAGACCACCAGAAAAACATGACCGTGTATTTTAAAAGTTAACTAATAGATTATAATAGAATCGAAAAGAATGAAAATATTAGAATGGTTCAGTGCAAAACGATGTTACCTGATGGAAACTGCAAAAAGTGTTTAAGACTTTGTCAGTTTTTTCCGCTGTATAATTGAAGCACACAAGTTTTTCAAGTTTTTTCATCAGATTTTCTTCTTTGCATTTTTCTCTTGGGGGAAATAAGTTTAAATAGTCCAAAAACCGTTGAAAAATTAATATTTTCAAAATACGTTGATCAGTTACCAAGAGAGCAAACTGAACGGTGGTCTTCCGACCATTTTTTAAACAGTTCGTGGCTTTCAAACCATTTATTTACGGCTAATCAAATCGAATTTACCTTTCTTGATGCTCTAGTTCCTGAATGATGGCATGAGCAATGGGATCAGTAATGGGCCTCTCACCAAGAAGTCTTTGGCGATCAGCATCAGGTTGCATTTGAGCAAATGTGCTAACATCGCCCAGACTGATCTCCAGATGAGGAGACGTCGAAAGACTTTCGTCATCCGCTGAAATGGAATAATAGTGAGCGATTTAGTGTTGAAGTACTGAGAATTTGCTGTAAATTTTTCAAAGCAAACCGTGCTGACATCGACGCAAAAATTCTCCTGAACCTAATGATGCTTCGAAATTCAAGTCGATTTAAATAAATTACAGCTTACAAGTGAATACAATCAAGTGAATTAAAAATTAACTTACAAAAATCGTCAAAGGCCTCATTAATCATGTCAAATCAAGAAAAAGCGTTGTTTTACATCCGTTTGTTGTGATGAGGTTAGTTAGGATACGCTAGCACAAAAAACAGTTAGCCGAATCATAATGGAAGTTGATTATAGCATTACCGAAACAATGTTGACGCGCAACTTCCAGGAATGTGTTTTCTTTTAAGATAAAATTAATGGTTTAATATTCGGCTACAAAACATAATTAAACAGTTATTTAGATTAGCTTTAACACCGCCTGATAAACTGGAGGTTTCTTAGTGAATTCCACCTTGATTGCTTGGCGCGATGTTTTACTGGCACTCAAACATGTTAGATGAAGATATGCGAAAAACATTATGATACAGTGTGTCGTAGTTAAACCTCAATGTACCACTGGAAGGGAAAATCACTCACCAACGAGGAGAGACTAAAGAGATGATCTAAGCAAAGAGTATATACAGGGTGATTCAAAATTGGCGTCATTCCTTTTAAGGGGTAATAGGGGCTCACTTGGAAGGTACGAGAAAAATATTGAATTTTTTCGATAATTTCTAGAAGATGGAGTACCGTGGATGGCCGGGTATCAAACTCTTTCTTCAAATTCCCACTTTATTCAACTCGGTATAACTTTAAATAAGGAAGAGGAACAAATTAACTTCAAAATTAACGTCAACTTCACAAGCAATAACAATAACAAACGGAAAACTCGGTCTCACGACTCGCGGGATTTAACCTCTTCTGCACTCAGTCGTTGCTGTCACTTCACTGTCACTTAAATTTTGCCTGAGGGGTCTTCTGGATCCGATATGTAACATCGTTGAGTCTGGTGATGATCGTATAGGGTCCCTCCCAGGAGTTTTGATCTTCAATTTTGCTCTGACCTCATCGTGTACAAGTTTCAGTTTTCTGTTCTGCTAGCTTGAGTCCATAATCTTCGCCAATTTGTAAATCTTCCGGTCTTCCTGTGAGTAGATCAATGGGAAGTCGCAATTCTCTGCCAAATAAGATTTCTGCCGGAGTTTTGCCAGTGGATTCATGGACTGCTGATCGATAGCCTAATAAGAATGGAGCAAGTTGCGTATCCCAATTATCCTGCTTATTGTTGACCATAATTCTCAGATAATTCAAATCTATGGTTCTGTTAAATCGCTCTACCATGCCATCAGATTCTGGGCGCAGAGGTGTTGTTCTTGTTTTGTTAATTCCCAACAGCTTACACATTTCTTGAAAAACTTGGTCCGAATGGATCTCTCTAGGACAGCCAAAATTACACACCCAGTTTTGGAAGAGCACATCTGCTATGGTGGTGGCTTCTTGATTAGGAATTGG